TGCTTGACAATAGCACAATCTGCCCACTCCTCCTGCTGTGCTCCATTCACTGTATGACCATATTAACTGGTGCCTCTAAGGCTGCAATGCACTGCCTCAGAGAGGCTGTCATAGCCTCAACTCATGGTCATTGCCTTGGTCAGAGTAAAATTGTACAGACAGATGCCACAGGTCAACACTTTAACACTGATGGCACAAAAAGTAGCATTGATCTGCTAACTCTCTAAGCGGGGGGAAATTTGGGGTCTGTTTGGGTTTTTTTGCACAGTTCTTTTCATGAAATTGGACTTTCCCCATTCCTTCTAGAATCTGTGCCTTTAACCATCTTTTCTAAAGTTTAGGTAGCTATTGCACAAATCTTACATTATTTTTTAATGATCAACAGATCAAGCATACAGATAAACATCAGGCATACAGATAAAGCAAATCAAATCAAATAAACATCAGATTATAAAAGTGAACAATGGGGGGTTGCAGACTGCCAGAAATAGTGCAAATTGAGTCCCCTTTTAGGGTTAGGGTTAGGGTTAGGGAATCATGGGAACTGTATTTTATTGTGGCACCAGAGCTCTCTGACAGAGAATGCTCAATGTCTCAGGAAAAAAAACAAAAAACAATTCCCATGATTCCCTAGCACTAACCCTAACCCTAAAAGTGGACTCAATTTGCACTATTTCTGGCAGTCTGCAACCCCCCAATATTAATTGGGAATCAAAATACAAAGTTTGCTCCTCAAAAATTTAAAATTAATCATTATAAAATTTTAAAATACAATTTTACACCAACAGACTGTTGCTGCTGCACAAAAGCCAGTCACTACAATTGTTACTGATGGACACAAGTCTGCCAGCAAATGGGATACATAAAACTAATCAGTTCTTCCAGGAATACCTCTACCAATTGGATACATAAATATGTGATGATAACCATTATTGAAAGGGAAATATAAGAATACATGTTCTACTGTCTCCACTGTGCCAGCTGCACAGAGGCATAAGTATGCATCATAAAGGATATTATTATATCTCCCTTCCAATAAAGCTGAGAGTAACACACTTATTTTGCTAGGGTGAATGCTTTCCTATATTTTGGAAGGGTTACAGTATTCAAATGGCTAGCTCGCAAAAAAGCATGACCACTATCTCTAAAATCAGACTGTGCTTACATGCTGTTGCAACTCATTGTCTATAATACGTAATGAATTTCCTCTTTTGCTTTCATATAACCCATTGCCGAAATAGTGGTTTGTGAGAAACCCAGTTTAGCTAGTTTCTCATTCAGAGTCTTATTCCACCTAGAATGAAACCACCAGTTAATACTAAAGGAACCAATCTCACTGTGTTAAAAAGTATTCTTCATGCTCAAATCTTCAGTGAATGATAATTGTATACACTCACTCACTCATACTCCAAAGAGCTCGGAGATATTACTTTTTAAGATACTACTTTTTTGAATACAACTGTCTAGCCATGGGTACTGAGAAAGTAACTTTTCCACACTCTAGGGGAAAAAAGTGCTATCTGAGCAGAAGGACCTTCCCTTCATGGTCTGGCTATGTTAAATCCAACCTTATATACTTGAAGATAATAGTTGTAGAGCTGGCCTAAGTAAGGCTTGTTTGGTCTCAGGGTGCCAAGGTGCTGAGTCTCAAGGAATTCTTTTGTCTTTCTGGGTGACAAATCTCAAGGTGAATACCATCAAAGGAGAGTTTGGTTTTTGTGTGAGATTAAATCCTGGGAACTCATCTCCATACTTTTCCAGCTGGCAACAGTACAGACTGCCTGTGTGAGGGAATTTATATGTAATGTAAGAAGAACTTGAACCTGGCGAATTACTAAAGTTCAAGTCTCCAATGGGATCTTTTATCCTATGTTTACAGAGGTGGCTAGGGAATAGACTAATAGAGACAAAGCTTTTGAATGAGTCTGTGGTTTATTTGGGGATTCAAACATACAAAGACACTCTAACATTCACTCGTACAGACAAGAACTCAGGATTAAAGTAGTTATCTTGGATAGGAAACAGAAGGCTTTCTAATGGTGATATTTAGCTGATGGAGGCTGCTCCAATGATGAATGAAGATAGATAGACACAATTATTTATGAAAGGGAAAGGACAATGGGAAGAGCCAGGACCCAAGTCAGAGTTCACAGTGGCACAGTGTCACCATGAAATCTAACCAGACCCAATATACCTGAGATTTGGGGGATCTTTTATACCCTTAAACCAAGCCTGAGATGAAGATTTGCTATTGTATATCAAAGGATTCCAGATTAATACTCTTTGAAGTAGACGATTTCCAAGGAAGGGAGATTGGGTGCTGATGTTATCTCATTCTCAGCTGGATACATCCTGGCTGGTACTCATAAATCTCCTAGGTGAGAATATCTTGCTTTGCAGCTCCCAAACCTGGCCCTTTTGATCTGCAAATTGTTGTAGATGCAGACATGACCTTTCAAGTGCTTACATGAGGTCATCACCTTGGATCCATGGCGATTGGGCTTTTCTGGTCTAGCGCCATGACAGGAGACCCACAAAGGGGGGTTTATATAAAAGCAATTCTTGTAACAGTAACAATATGAAATGCTGGCACTAATGAAATAAGAGTGGAATTAGAGAAAGAACTGATAGGGACATGGACTTGGGCCATTGTTTCATTTGAATCAAGGCAGCAAATAGAGTAGCTCATGGGTGTTTGTATGCACAAGGCTGGAAACAGAATCATAGAGCCTGGGAAAAGAAAACAAGTCCCCATACACTGATCATGAGTTTTCTACAAATGTCAGCCGCAGCTGATTATCACTCCATGATGCTAACACATTGGCAACTCAAAATAAATGAAACCTCTACCTTAGCACTGCAGTCATGCATTAGATCACATTTTTTTTCCTGAAAACCGGGATGCATTTGTGATAAGAGTGGCAGGAACTGACCACATTCTTGAGATTGGGCCTTTACAAACTGCCAGAAATAATGCAGCTTGAGGCCACTTTAACTATCCTGGCTCAGTGCTAATGAATCATGGGAACTGTACTTTATTGTGGCACCAGAGCTCTCTGACAGAGAAGGCTCAATATTCCAGAAAAAATATACATTTCCCATGATTCTTTAGCACTGAGCCAGGACAGTTAAAGTGGCTTCAAGCTACATTATTTCTGGCAGTCTGTAAAGGACCATCGAGACTTTTTTTTTTTAAAAAAGTTGCACATGCGTAATTGTGCAACTTTGGTGTCACTAGAGGGAACGGTGAAGTCTCATGCTGACAAGCTCATGAGATTGCACAATGATGGTGCATCCAGTGATCGCGTTGGTTGTTGAATGCAGTATTCTCACATAACTGCTGTCATTCATGGCTTCTACGCATGAATGAAAAGTGGTGGTTTTAATTCAAGATAACAGTGGTTTGCGCACTGCATCATGTGGTCAGGACTGTTGCCAAATCAGAACTATGCTGATTGGTTTGTGCTCTAACTGATAGTGTGATATTCTCCTTAGATGTCGGAAAACCTTTGGGCATGTCATGTGTGTTGTGAGATGTGAGTCCCTGCTGGCATGGCAGCAAACAGTGCAGCTGATGGCTGTATTTCACTGCCTTGAAATAATTGTTCCCCAGAGCTATCAGCTGCCATATTACCTAAATTCTGGGGCCATTTATCCATGTTCCCATTTTGCCTATATCCATAAGTAACTGGCATAAATTCTTATGGACTCCTGTCTATTAAATCAGATGCAATATGAAATGCATCTGATGAAGTGGGCAACATCCATAAAAACCAATGCCAAATAAAACTTGTTAGTCTTTAAGCTGCCTAGTTGTTTGAAATATTAATTTATCTCGAGTGCTCCTGGAAATGAATCTGAAAGCACCTTAATTTAGAAAATCAATAAACAAAGGGGTATCATAAAGTTTTAATTATCACCTTTAAATTTTTTTGACAGAAAGTTTGTTTTGATTTGTAGTTCTTAACTTATCTCTATGTAGTCACCATCCAGATTTACACATTTTACCCAGCATTTCTTGACCCTCCAAATATCTGTTATTCTAGAAGTCTGCAGACTGAGCCTTACAAGGGGGCATCGTAAATAATTATCACCTGAAAGTTACTATGGTATACCATATTTTCTGGCATATAAGATGATTTTTTAACCCTGGAAAAGGGTCTCAAAAGTTGGGGGTTGTCTTATAGCGGGTAGAAGAGGAGGAGGAGGAGGACGAGGGGAGAAAGAGAAGGAAGCCAGGTGAGAGGAGGATGAGGACGAGGGGAGAAGGAAGCCAGTTCTACAGTATGGATGCAGCCTGAATTTGCACTGCAGAAATAATGCAGTTTGATACCGCTTTAACTACCATGGCTCCATCCTGTGGACTCCTAGGATGTGCAATTTACTTTGTGGTACCAGAGCTCTCTGACAGAAAAGGCTAAATATCTCACAAAACTGGAAATCCCAGAATTCCATAGCCTTGAGCCAGGGCAGTTAAAGTGATGTCAAACTGCATTAACAAATTTCTGCAATGCAGATGCAGCCAAAGTTAATGTGTTGCTT